ATGATCATTGCTTAATTTAAATTAATAACCTTATTATTTTTTAATATTGATTGTGTATTCAGCAATTACTTTTACCATATATTGCGTGCAATAAAAATTTAATCTACATTRCCAATGAAAATAACTCGTCAACATTAGTTCATAMAAATTGTAATAATAACATTGAATTTATAAAATATAAAAATACCTATCATTCACCTATCTATATTATCTATGTATTGAATTTAAATTTGTATTTACTTACGCTGTTCAATCTATAGGATGTCTCGAACATTTTGAAACCATATTTGTAAATTTATCGTTTGTTCTTATATTATATGTGTGAAAAAAAAATTCAATCGTCGAGTAAACACTTTCGTAATTGCTAACGAATACGGAACGAGAGAAGCAATCGTGAACATAAGCGCTTTGGACATTTTGGTTAACCGCTCGGCAACACCAGACTGGCAACCCTTAACGTGTGCTCTCGCATTGTGTTGCTTTGCAACAACCCCGCGCAGGTCCTAAACCCTTTTTACGGCCTTGTATTTACAGATGCACTAACAAGAGAAAGGAAACGGCCATTACATTCTCCAGTATTTGTGTGTCTGTGCTCACGCACGCTGGAATTTTTTTTGTTATTATTTATTTAAATTGAGAATGTAATATATAAAAATAAAAAACATTACATGTATTTAATACAGTAAACGTGTTTTGTTAACCAAATAATTGAATATAAATAGAGAATTCATTGTAATTTATATTTAGTTAAGATTTATAACACGACTATATGGACACATACATTTTTTTTACATACTTCTGGWAACTAAAAAAATAGTACCTAACTAATACACTAATTGCATACCTACACGATGTTTATAATAATTGTCTAACATATTAACTCTCGTGTTAATTTTTATTTGATCAAATTATTTTGATCTCTTTAAAAAAAAAAAAAAAAAAATTGGGCATCTATAATCGCATAAATTTACATAATGTCGTTTAAAGTTTTATTTTTAATCTAGTGTTTTATGCAATCTGTACATAAAAAAAGTAGGTATATGATAAGCATAAAATATGTTCTTACCTATTATAAAATAAGTAGCAGCTTGAATATCTTTAGGGAAGAGCAAACCAATGAAGGCATTTTGGTTTAAATTCCGTTTACAGTTAATTCATAATACTGGAGAAAAAAAATTAATTATGATCATTCTATACTATAAATTCAAATTTAAATTCCAGTTTTATTCACACACCATCTGTCATGATATTCGTTTGTACCATCATAGTTAGAAGATACACATAGCATCCACATTATATTTGCATTTTTATGAAGTGCGTACCTATATCGTAATAAATATTGGTACAAGCGTATGACAAAACAATTATTTTGTCTTTTCAAACACATAAATCTTTCAACCACGTCGCATTTTAAATTCGCAAAGAACTCAATTTTCGATTTCATTTCACTTTAACTAAAAACGTTTTGTTTCTATAGTTTAATAAAATATAGGTAATTGTTGTTTTTCCTTTACACGTGTATTATGGTAACTTAACTTAATTTAATAACAATACAATCTCTGGTTTCAAATGTAGTTTCTGGTGATACAAAATATAATTATTTCCATGATATTTATACAAGCATGTGCATATTAATGACTTTGTCTCTTACTGAAAGTTGTAGGTACTATTATTACTCACGATAAAGGTTTTATCGTTAATATGTTTTATCATTTAAAGTTAAATAATGAAATTGAATTTATAGATACGAAAACCTCAAACGCGTTACCTTTATATATAATATTATATTGAATAAAAATGTATAGTTTAAATTTAAAATATATCATCTAACAAATAATAACAAAATAATTTGAATGCTAATTTATAAATTAAATACAAAAAATACCCATGCTTTCAAATCATCCTATTATTATTTTTTTTACACAGAAATATAGAAGTAGACAGGTATTTAATCCGGACGTTTTTTATACGTAGGTTGTAGGCAAATAATTTTATAGATCATACAATAAAGCAAACAATTTGACTTTTTACCATTATGCTCGTAGGTATTACATACATGGCGTACTTAAGAATAATTAGAATGCTTTTCGCTAAAGAACCCGGATCATTATGATTTATGAATTATTGTTATGACTTATTAGTCTCTACGGTAATGAGTTTTGAATAAAAAGTTTAATATACCTACTCAGTATTCACGCACAATAATAGTAGTTCATTGTGAACTGTGAATTATGTGATTATCAATCCGTRAATAACTTATGTCTAAGAATACACGATGAAATAATTGTGCAGTAAATAATAATTAGGTATAACATTGTAAAGAATGAATTCTTAATTTCCTTGTTAATGTAATTATATGATAAGCATATTATTAATATAATGTCAATCAAATTGTATAATAAAAATCATCAAAATCCTAATTCATTATTTACAAACAAAATKGTATTATATTGTATGTGTGGGTATCAATATTGCAGTCCAATGTCAAATAATCGGATTTACGTAATTTGTTCGTAAAAATAATGCACTACACAAAAATTACTCGAAATTATTTAACAAATTTAATTGGATATAATTTGATGTGACCAAAGTGCCAAGTTGCATATGCACCTGAGTGTACACACCGGCTAGTGTTGCTAGCTCCCGGATGGGTGACCATATGAATTAATTTGTTTTGTTATGATTATATAATTATAAAATATGAAATTTCCTTAACCTATATAATAGGTACCTAGATCGTGTGTTGTGATAATGATTGATACGGTACTATATTATGAGATTAAAATTCTTGCGGTCAATCATTCATAAGAAATAATCATATGGTATTTTTATTTTTTATAATATTCATCTATTGAGCATACCTATCTAGTATTTGGCTCTTTTAATATTTACGAAAAGCTTAAAATTAATATAATATGCATATTAAGTAAAACAATTACTTTTTATTTCAACATTAAATTACTGTTTAATACATGTTATTATTTGTTTAAATGTATCAGACATATAAATTATTTAAAAGTTATATTTTAAAGCCTATGTAAATTAAATTAAATAGTGAATACTGCATACAATACATTTTGATTAAATATAAATATGAATAGAAGGTCAGTATGAAAATGGTAATACCCAAACCTTTTTTTTAAATCCATAAAAATCTTCTTAAATCTTCAAATAAATAAATAAACATAAATTTTAAGCTAAAAATATTATCAAAAAAAACTATTATTAAGACATACCTGTTTTAATTTGTTTGAAAAAAATGTTTTTCTGTGTTGTTTAAAATATTTAATTTCTTGTAAGCTAAWAACACAAAATTAAGAAATTATTTTTTCTATACTTAACTTGAAAGTTCTATAAACGTTCAAAATATTATTGAACTGATGATAAAATGCATCACAATAAGTAATATATATCCATAATAGTACTTATATTATCAAGTACCTATAGAAGTACCCGGGGCACCCATTTATAACTCTTAAGAAAAAAACTTCATGAAGATTCCTACTTAAAAAAATTAATAGTTTAAAATTAAGAACACTAGTCTTATATTTCTTTTCAACTCAATTAGAGTGTATCACTTCTATAAATTCTTAATCAAACATTTATAGCCTACGAGCATTATGTATAGAAAATACGATAATTTGTAAATCATATTTCAAACAAAATACCAAAATATTAACATTGTGCATCATGAAATCTGAGATTCTAAACCTTTTGGCACAGTACCTATGAGACTATGATCTACATAAATTATTAATATTGTAATAAAATGCTTCGTGAAATGTTTTACTCGGGTATAAAATGTTATAAAACTCAATTGAGTACATATTAAACTTAAATGAACATTTAACTACCTATGGAATTGTTTAAAACTGAGTAAGTACATTTACTGTTGTTTTATGCTCCAATACACGAATTTATCATGTGAATTTTCAATGACTAGGTAAGAAGTACTTAATTTTTTTTTTTGTGAGTGCGTAGTTGATTAGTATAAACGAAAACGAGCGACACACTCAAACAATGATCTGCAGATACCTACTGGTATTCTATAATACTATTGAACGGAGAACGATAATACAACTATTTAATATTTTCACTACGATAGCCTCATAATATTAAAGATAACCATTAATATGGATTTGGAACGTTCACGACGAATATTAATAGCTACCAATAGATTTACGGTGGCAAGTGAACAACAATTTCTCTAGTGATTGTGATTGCTGATTTCGGAAAAACATAGACAACTAGCTACCTAATATCTAATAATATGATCTACCAATAGAACTATTGTTGCGAGAAGTTAACTTCTGGAGTGGTTGTGATAGCCGATTTCAGATAAGTATCTATAGATAGTAATTAGATACCTGATAGAAAGATATAATAGTATTTTGGTCTTTGCAATCATGCAATAAGAAACCTCAAGCGATACTTCAAATTATTATAACATAAACCCGTATAGAATAATGTTGTTAATGTTATTATCTTTTATCTGACATTTACATAATATTTTAATATTGATAAGTGATAACATATTGCTATAAAAAATTTCCATCGTATCATAAATATGGTATTATATTTATTGATTCATATTATATACTAATACCAGCTATGAAATACACACATTTTTTATTTTTTTATTTTTAATCTAGAAATTATACAATCTGTACATAAAAAAAAGTACAATAAGCATAAATTATGGTTTTTTAAAAAAAAATTATAATTAATGAGCTTGAATATCTTGAGGGAAGAACCAACCAGCGAAGGCACTTCGGGGAAATACACATATTATATAAATGCATTATTACCTGTTTAATGCCGTACATATCTTTTGTAGAAAATATTATGTTAAACATTGAAAATATATACGTGTATCAGTGTGTTTATATTATTGTTTACAAAATAGCTAGCAATGAGCAAGCAGATGCAGCTGCGAAAATCGTCCACTCGTCCCCATATGCCCCTACCTTAGTACCTTACCTATGTTAATTATAATCTTTATAATGACATAAAGAAAGTCATAGGGCATAACACATCACGCATAATATGTCAAATGGAGTGGAATGAAACGTCCACCAAACTAAACGAAATCAAGAAATCCATTCAACCATTC